GGATCACCATTCTGGAACCGGCCACTCCGATTCCCATCTGTCTGAAGCTCCCCATCATCAAACTCATCATGCAGGAAGCTTTTTGGTCGGGGAACAATCACCTGGCTTTTCAGAGAATCCAGCTCTTCTCTGAAAGCACAGTTGTGACAGTTCTGCAGAAAGGAATACACAAGGATGCGCTCCACCTGTACATCGCCATGGGATCACCATTCTGGAACCGGCCACTCCGATTCCCATCTGTCTGAAGCTCCCCATCATCAAACTCATCATGCAGGAAGCTTTTTGGTCGGGGAACAATCACCTGGCTTTTCAGAGAATCCAGCTCTTCTCTGAAAGCACAGTTGTGACAGTTCTGCAGAAAGGAATACACAAGGATGCGCTCCACCTGTACATCGCCATGTGGTCCCTAAAAATAATCACCAATAAGTCGTCAGGAATCTGACAAGCAACAAGACACTCCTGCCCGATAGGGCCCCGTGCAGTACTCTTTTTCAGTACTGCATGTCTATTGTGGACCTGCTCTAGAAGCCTGAAATTATGTTAACCAAGGAGATTGCATAGTTGCATGACTGCATTCTAATGGTCATGGTTTTGTTTATATGTAGGTCCTACAAAGAGTGGTGCATGATTTTTGTTTTTAATCCAGTAGTGGAAGGATTAATTTAAGATGCTCCATATATTTCAAGCTGCTTTTTTAAAACTGCCATTTTAAAACATGTACTAACACACACTCAAGACTGTTATCTTGAATTTGGGAACGGATTATTCAGTTTCCTGTTAAAAATATAACAGCAATGGATGTTTGTTTATCATTGTAAAATAAGTAATGTGATACTAACCATATAGGGGATGGGTTCTCACACCAAAAAAATTGACTGTTCAAAAGTTCACAGCCTTATCTTTCATCTCACAGTTTCTATGGGACCCAGACAAGGTCAATAATCATGTTCAGATCACTGTGGCTGCTAGCTGGGACAGTATCAGAAATCTTAGCAATACAGGCACACGCATCCACACAGACTAGGGAATCATCTGCCTCTCTGTGTGACAGCAAGTCCAAGCTGTCCGGCAGGGCTACTCAACCTGCGGTCGGTCTGTTTGCAGCCTACAGTGCGGTTTGGGTTTACAAGAGGCTCAACACACGGCCTGCAGGTGGGATCGTCTGAACATGGCCTCCACTGGGAACACACTCCATAACGGCAAGATGTCTCTCAGGTGGGGTAAAAGCATTTGAAAGACGCAAGCGGATAGGCTGGCTGGAACAGATGGGTACAGGGTGTCAGTGTTTCTAGGCCTCAGGGAGGTGGTGCTGGGAGCACCGGGGCAGTATGTGAAAGAAGCTATTTGCATATATTTGTATGTATATTTGCATGTATGTGCAACCACACTTAAGTCACGGCCCTCGGCATGTGCTGTGAGTATCATTGTGGCCCCCGGGGCTTCCAAAGTTGAGTAGCCCTGATGTACAGAAACGTGGTGCCTGCATACCCAAACTAGGAGCCAAAATAAATTCAGACTGAGCATCCCCCAAATTATTAAATGTAATTGCCACATTTTTAGTCTATATTTTAAAAAAGTGACGAAAGTTGAGCACCTAAAATCACTAGATACCTCAAAAGAAGCCTGATTTTCAGCAAGTCAGGGAAGGGGGAAATCAGCACTTTCTGAAAACCATGCCCCTTAAGCCAAAGTGACAATTTAAACATTAAAATTAAACTTGTGATAATTTTGAAAATGTAACCTTTTGGAACTGACCTGATCCATGCTGGCTGCTGGGACAGTGAAGCTGTGTTACCCTTAGCTTTCAACCCAGGAGTCCTTTCCCTGCAAGGAAACAAAAGGAAGATGCCAACAAACCTGCAAGCCCAGCAATTCTCTCTAACAAGCACTTACTGATACAGCTCTGCTATGTGGAACACGGGTATTCCCCAGAAACACATGCCTGGGGATTTGGCAGTCACGGGGAAGGATGTGAACACTGGACCAGATGAGCAAGTAGGCCCCTTTTAGGAGTAAAGGGGTGGGATAGGAGGCCACAATGCCTTTCCTCATCCCTTATGGATAGCTCCACCTTCCCGCTTTATGAATAGGCATGATAATGGAGAGGCCTGGAGGTTGATAATCACCATGACAGCAAGTGAATCTGGGCATGCGCCCTTAGCGGGGGCCAGATGCTGAAATGGAGAGCAAGGTAAGCTCCAGGTGGACCTCTGACCTAGCTAGTGAAGGATCCTGGATTACCAAGTGAATTTAATTCATGGTAAGGGTATTTTGGTAGCTTCCTGCCTGCCTTTAGCTGCGAGACACTCCTGTTCATTTATAAGTGAACCAGCCTGAGCCAGCCAAACTTCCACTGCCTTTGGAGCACCCTAAGTTGTACAGGAACTAACCCAGTTCAAATACCTGGTGTCAAGGTTCAAGCTGTGTGTATCCTGCCAAAGGCCTCCAAATACATTTAATAAAAGCTCCTTAGCACAGCCACACCACTGCTGCAACTCCAGGAAAACCTAGAAGGTGAACATGAGCAAGGACAATCATCACAAACCAATCAATCATTTTCAGGAAGACAACCTCACAAATGCCAAGAGCTCCCTCTGCTGGAACAGGGGAGCTTCTACTTTAGTTTGCTGAAGGAATTTAGTGCTGGCGAAAAATGCCAAATGCAGAGCTGTGAACTCTGCGCTCTTCCAAAGAGCAGACACTGTGTGGGCTGCAGTGATGCATGCTGGCCCCACATCTCAGCCCATGGACACCAAACCTGGCCTCGATGGGCCCACCTTTAAGGGGAGACAAATTTAACCTCCAACTCCACTTGCTCCTCTGTCTCCATGCTGAGGGTGCCAGCTGCAGTGGTAGGTTTGTTTGTTTGTGCAATATGGACATTAGTTCCCCAAGAATGGGCTAAGGGCACCAAGAGACTTATGATATGATCTTCCAATCACCACTGACTGGCACAGGCTTTGAAATTTCAGCCACTCCATAATAATCTCTCACATGTGTCCTGGCCCTTAATGGAGCAGTTTAAGGCGCTGAACAAAAAACTCTATTGGAATGACAGAGTGCAGGTGGAAAAAAGGAAGTGAAGCCCCCTTCCCTCCAAAAATCTACCAACTTCAAGCACAGAAGCAAACTACAAAGAGACACAAATTGTTCAGGAAAGAGAAGGTATTTCCCAGATTTTTGGAGGGTATTTGGATTTTGGATTAAAAAAAAAAACTCCTCCCCCACATATAAATACTTGGGCAGTTCTTTTATCCAGGATCTCTCAGAATGATTTTACATCATGCCATTTAACAGCCACACATTAACTGGTTGGTCTTCCTGACACAGGAAAATAAAAATTTGCTGCACTGCATCAGACCATTGATCCGTCAAGCTCAGCACTGTCTCAGTAACCACAACATATGTGATGTAAAAATCTCCCATAATGTACCAGGCCAGCTGGGTGATGGAGGAGGCAGAAGGACCTTCTTTCTATTCTCTTGAGATTGCACAGAAAACTCCCCAGGCTCCATTTTGCACATATGACTTCCATTTAAAAAAAATCAAGAGTTATTCCCCCATTAGCTGAAAGCTGCAGGTCACACAGACTCAAAGTAAAATTGGTGGGCAAATCGAAGTAGGGGAAAGGTCAGCAGATCATAAGTATGATGCAAACAATGGCTGCAGGCTAAAAAATAGCCTGAGTGTTTGTAGAGTTGCCAGGTGCTTGGCATTTTCGCCTCCTGGCTGGGGAAAAATTCAGAAAATACCAGACATCTCAGATGTCCGGAATTCTCTGATTTTTTTTACTGGACAGGAGGCGAAAATACCAGACTGTCTGGGTGAATACTGGACACCTGGCAACCCTACATGTTAGCTAACTCCAGTTAAGAACACCCACCCCGTTACTAATGGACTAAAGTTAATAGTACCATGCTAAAAAACTCCTGTAAATAATGTCCGTAAGCATTTTCTCGATTTTAATATACACCACGAAGACATTGTAGTTTCAGGAGAGGGTTTTTTTGGGGGCTGGGGGAGGAAGATTGTTTTTTTTTAAATTAAGAATATGGAAGAGTAGCTCTATGTGACTGTATTCACCCTAAGGCTTATCTTCACTTCAGAAGTAACTTGGCCTTTTACTCAGATGTTGCCCTTTAACAGACTCCTGTCCTCACATAAAAAACACCCTACATCAGAGGGGGAAATCTTACCTTTCAAGTGATATCAAGCAATTTCTACATCTACTGCTCTACAAGATAGTGGAAACTCAACCATACTGGAGTTGAATTGTGAGGAAAAAGCACAAGAGTAATCGAAATGATGTGTTTTAAAGGTACAGATGTCACACTTATCTTTGTACATGTTCTTGAATATTAATAAAAGCAATAAATTCAGTAAAACATACAGGCTAATATGTGTACTTCTGCTGTGCTCCCTGATCTCAGAGAAGCTTACTGATGCATTATTATACATTCAAGCCTCAATTTACATGGTACATATGTTCTTTAAAATACACACACGTACACAGTGCAAATAGAAATAATGTAAAAAGATACCAAGAGTCTATGGGAAGTAAGGGTTTAGGTTCCAGACTGAAGCCCCCAACCCTGTTTCCCAGTTGGAGTGCTGGGTGGAATGCGAAGCCTCCTCCCCCACTGTCCAGCAGG